TAATCTTTCTTTTTCTAATCTTTCCTTTGCAATACGTTCTTTTTGTGCGTTTTCTGTAGCTTCCTTTTGTAATCTTTCTTGAACAATACGCTCCTTTTCTGCTTTTTCTTTAAGTTCTTTGTCTAATTTTTCCTTCTCAATACGTTCTTTTTCAACACGTTCCTTTTCTAATCTTTCTTTTTATAATCTTTCTTTTTCAATTACGTTCCTTTTCTGCTTTTTCTTTTTCTAATCTTTCTTTTTCTGCTTTTTCTTTAGCTTCTTTTTCGAGTCTTTCTTTTTCGAGTCTTTCTTTTTCGTCACGTTCTCTTTCTTGTTTCTCTTTTTCTAATTTTTCTTTTTGAAGACGTTCCTTTTCTACATGTTCTTTTTCTAATCTTTCTTTTTCTAATCTTTCTTTTTCTAACCTTTCTTTTTCTAATCTTTCCTTTTCTAATCTTTCCTTTTCTAATCTTTCTTTTTCTAATCTTTCTTTTTCTAATCTTTCTTTTTCTAATCTTTCTTTTTCGAGTCTTTCTTTTTCAACACGTTCTTTTTCAGCACGTTCCTTGTCTAATCTTTCCTTTTCAGCACGTTCTTTATCCAATCTTTCCTTTTCAGCACGTTCCTTGTCTAAGCTTTCCTTTTCTAATTTCTCTTTTTCCAATCTTTCCTTTTCAGCACGCTCTTTAGCCAATCTTTCCTTTTCTAATTTTTCTTTTTTCTAATTTTTTCTTTTTTCAACACGTTCCTTTTCAGCACGTTCCTTTTCTAATCTTTCTTTTTCTAGTTTCTCCTTTTCAATACGTTCTTTTTCTTTAGCCAATCTTTCTTTTTCTAGTTTTTCTTTTTCAAGACGGTCTTTTTCGGCACGTTCTTTTTCGGCACGTTCTTTTTCGGCACGTTCTTTTTCGGCACGTTCTTTTTCGGCACGTTCCTTTTCTAATTTCTCTTTTTCTAATCTTTCTTTTTCGACACGTTCCTTTTCAGCACGCTCCTTAGCCAATTTCTCTTTTTCTAATCTTTCTTTTTCGGCACGTTCTTTTTCAACAAGTTCTTTTTCTAATCTTTCTTTTTCGGCGAGTTCCTTTTCTAATCTTTCTTTTTCAGCACGATCTTTTTCAGCACGTTCCTTTTCTAGTTTTTCTTTCTCTAGACGTTCTTTTTCCAATTTTTCTTTTTCTAATTTTTTCTTTCTTTCTAATTCTTTTACTTTTTCCTCTTCTTCTTTTTCCCAGTCACCAAAGAGACTTGTAGATTGTTCTTGTTTTTGTTGATTATTTGATTTAGAGAACTGTTTTTCAATTGATTCAATATCAATAGATTTCTTTGTTGGTGTTGGTTCAGCTTTTTTAGTTGAGATTGGAACATTGAAAAGGTCATCCAATTCATTCTTGAAGTTTTGCTTTAATTCTTGTTTCTTTCTTTCTTTTTCCTCCTTTTTTCTTTTTTCCTCTTCTTCTTGTAAATAGATATCTTTTAAAAATTGATCTGCATCATCGATAGTTTCATTTGATTTAAATGATGCCTTTTGTTGCCCAATACTAATTTCATTCTTTTGGGGAGTTTTCTTTGTTGGAACGGTTTTAAAAAACATATCATCAGTTTTAAGACTATCATCACTTGAACCAAAAATATCAGTTTCTAAATTTGATGATGGTTTCTTTTGGCCAATTTTAATTGAAGCTTCTTGGTTTTTATTTTCTGAACCTAATACCCAATTATCCTTTTGCTTTTGTGATTGCTGTGGTTGTGGTTGTGGCTGTTTCTTTTGAAGTTGGGCTGGTTTATTTATGTTACTATTGTTTGATTTAAAATTAAAATCGGTGGATAAAAATGAATTAATGTCGAATTCATCAGTTTCAAATAAACTACTTTTAGATTTAGATTGATTTACTGGAGATGGTGGGTTTGATGAAAGTAAAGTTTCACTTAATAGAGAATCACTAAAAATTGAAAGTGACTCCTTTTTATTAGCTGTGGTTGGTTTTTTTATGTTATTATTACTATTATTTTTAACCACTGGTTCATCAAAAATATTTTTTTCTAAATTATCACTACTCTTTTTGGGCACTGGACTTTGTGATGGGAATAAATCTTCTTCGCTGCCTCTTCTTTCAAAAAACTCATCTATTAATAAAAAAGTGTTAGTTTTTTAAAAAAAAATTTAAAAAAAAAGATTATGAAAAAAAACAAATAATTACATTTTTGATAAATATTAGTTGTAATGTATTTTTCGTTAATATTTGAAGATTCTAATTGCTTCATAAAACTATTGAAACTTGTGTTAACTGGAGATTCGTCACCTGATAAATCATAATTGCCATTATCAAATAAAATTGGGCTATTTGATGAATCTTCACGTTTAAGTGTTGGGTTTTTTGATGATAATTCAAATGATAGTAAAGGAGATTCTGGTTCGAATATTGATTCTTTTTGTTGTTGTTGTTGTTGTTGCTGTTGTTTATTTTGTGATGACTGGGATTGGGTCTTATTATTGGTAGTTGTTGAAGTTGGTGTTACAGTTGTATCACTGATATTATCTTTTGTAGTTCTCTGTGAATCTGGTTCTGGTAATCTGTCTGTTAAAATTCTTGCATCATTTTTTGAAACTACTTTTGGAGGCTCATTGCTGTTGGAAGGTTCTATAGTTTCACCAAGTGGTTGTTGTGGTTGATTTGGGTCAGGCTCAAACCATCCCTTAAAAAGATTTTTAAACATCTTTATAAACTATGTTTTTATAATAAAAACAAAAAGATGTTGTTATAATTGATTACAAGTGTAATTATAGTACAAAAATAAATATAAAATAAAAAAAAACTTACAAAAAAAATTTAATAAAATTTTTATTTTTTTTTATTTTTTTATTTTTTTATTTTTTTTTATTTTTTTTTTTATGCAACAAAACATGTCTATTATTATAATCATATTGTTTTTTATGATAAAAGCAATGAATCTCCAAAACAATTTTAAATTTCCTCTTAAAAAAATTAAATTTAAATATTTATTTTTAGAAATATTAAATGTTTGAGTGTGGGCTTCGAATTTGAATGATTAATTGATTTGATTTTGTGTTGTTCATTAAAAATTTTATAATGATCAAAATTAAAAAAAAAAAAAAGGAAATATCTTTAGTTTAACCATATTTATTTTATTCAATTTTTTATAAACCAATTTTAATATTTAAAAAGAAACTACTTGTTTGGGGTGATTTTAATATAACAGGCATTGAATTATATTCAAATACAAATGGTAATCTGATTGTATATAAATGATCTTTTTCTAAAGGTATATATTTATCGATTGTAAAATTCCATTTATCTGATAGTTGCTTTTCGTGTTGAGATATTTCGACACAAATGTTTATAGATAGATCGTTGATTGGTGAGTTGATATATACCTTTGCTAGTTGAGAATAGTATTGACAATCTGAATGTTTACATTCCTCCATAATTGGTTTTTGGAAGAAGAATTGTAAAAGGTGATTATCCTTAACCATTTCAATAAAGAATTTTCTACTTTTCTTTTTCTCAATAAACCTGTGACCTGTTGGGCATTGATATTCAAATGATAACTTACCATATAAATCTTGATTATTTAAATTGTTTAAACTATTACCACTGCCTGTTGATGTATTATTACTTTTGTTATTATTATTATTATTATTATTATTATTATTATTATTATTATTATTATTATTATTATTATTATTATTATTATTATTATTATTATTATTATTTATATTATTATTGTTTAATAAATTATTTTGTGGTCTATTTAAAATTGTTAAAATTTTTCTTAAGCCCCATTCTTGAAGAATTGGTTCACTATTACCAACATAAAATGAATTATCGTTGGTGTATGGCAACGCAAAGGAGGTTCTATTTTGTTGACCATAATCTAAAATACTGATCCATGGATAAGGTGTTGTATATTCTTGTAAATCGTATGATTTACATGGTATAAAAGAAACTAAGGTATTTGGTACTGATAACGTTTTAACTTGCTTACAACACTGTTGTTGATAAAATAATAAATTTCCATATTCTATTTCAAATATATCCTCACGCAATGAAGTTGTTCTACCACAATTACATGTTGCCCTAGTTCTATAGCCAGATGAATGTAGTCTAGTTTCAATAACTGAAGATGAAATCGATAGAGGCGAGCCAATACCAGTTGATGATGATGATGGTAAGTTTGGTGAAATATTCATTTCTTTTGATAATAATTTAAGCTGATTTGGAATGGGTGATAATACTATTGGTTTAGGTGGCGGCATACAACTATTTATTAATGGTGGAACATTATGAGTTTTTAAATTACAAATTTTTCCAGATAAACTCTCTTCTTCACATAATCTTTTTCCTCTTTTCCAAATTTGATCACACTCCATTTTCAAAAAATCTACACTAAACTCTAAAGATGGTCCAGATGCATTGAAACAAATAATTTTAATTGCTTTTGCTAATCTGCTTTGGTGTATTTTCAATCCATATGAAACTGGTAAATTTTCTTGATATTGATCTAAAGATATCTTATTATTTTTTATACATAATCTAAATAATAAAAAAGATAAAAGTTAATTTTAATGAAAAATATTAAAAATATATTATTATGCTTTATAATTACTTTTTAGAAAATATTAAATCAGTTTCAATAAATTTTTTTAAAATATTTAAATCTTGTTTTGGTGATGATGAAGAGCCTGGTGATATTTTATTATTGCTGTTATTGTTGTGGTTGTTGTTGCTATTATTGTTATTACTATTAGTTGATAAAGAATCAAATAAACTTGAAAGATGTGAAACTATAAACTCCCATTGAGAATATTCCATTAATTTTAATTTTGAATTTAATAAAACATTTCTAAAACTATTAATACATGCTAATGGAATATTAAAATAATTTGATTCATATGTTGACACCAACTGTGAATAGTACCTATATTGCTTAGGAAATGCCAATGTATTTAAATCCTGATTAAAAAGTGTTTGGATTGTATTACTTGAAATCTGGTAGAGTCTTAATAATCTAACCAATGGTCTATTTAATTCAATTAAAAACAATGGTATAGGTTGTTGTTGTTGTTGTTGTTGTTGTGATTGTGGTGGTTGTGCTGGAAAATCTTTTTTATTTAAATAATTTGTTACACTTGTAAACAAATTAAAATTTTTTAATATTAATAAAACCTGTTTCTTTAGTGACTCTTCTAACTTTAAGTGGCTATCTCTTTGATAGTTTTCATTTAAATCTTTTAATAAAAATATTTGAAGTATTGGTATTGATTTGCCTGGTGTGATAAAAGTAAATGGTTGGGGTAAATTTAATTTATTAATTAATAGATTGTTAATTGAAGGTGCTATAGCTTGTTTAACATGTTTTAAAATTTTGAAAATTTTAAAATATTCTAGTTTAATTGTTAAATTTTCAAACACCAACTATAAAAATAAAATTAGTTTTTTATTCAAAATACTATTTATAAATTATATTTTTAAAAAACTTACAAATATTATATTACAGATATGAAACATAAATAATAATGATTTTAAATAAATAAAATCACCATCCTCTAACCACTTTTCAATTTCTAACGGTGTCATATTTTCAATTGAATTCCATAGATCGGTAAATAATTGGGTATCTTGAAAAGAATTTAAATTTATATATACATTATCTTTTTCAACATCATTATAAATTTCTAACTTTACTGTTTCATCTGGAGTATGTTTATTAAAATTTATTTTAATATCCTATATTTAAAAAACTATTAGTACTCAATGATGATATTAATTATATATAATATATAATTATTAAAAATAAATACATACATGAAACACTGCTTTTTCAGCCATTTTATTTAAAAATAATGATTTTCCCTTTGAGGAATCACCAATTACACCTATAATACATGGTGATCCTTTATTTTGAATTTGTTGCTGATTAATCTTTTTTTGCTGTTGTGGTAGCTGCTGAGATTGCTGTAAATGAGGTTGCTGAGATTGCTGTTGTATTGGTATTTGATAATGTTGTTGAAACTTTTGATGAGGTTGATTTATTTCATTTTGTTTGAAATCAATTTTATTACTATTAATACTATTGTTATTGCTATTATTATTATTTACATTACTAAATTTTTGTTGAGGTGATGGTGGTTGTTGTTTTGTTGGGGTCCGTTTTTTTTGGTCCACATTCATGTTTCTATAAAGTTAAAGTGTTAAAAAATGTTGTAATAAATGAAAAAAAAAAAAATTAAAAATGAAAAGAAAAAAAAATTAAAAAAATTAAAAAATGAAAAATAAAAAAAAAAAATAATTAAAAAAAAAAATTTATAATAAAAAGTTCAAATTAAATATATTTAGTAAAAATATTTTTTTTATATAAATCAAAGAGAGATGTAATTAATATATCTTTGATTGATAAATTGTTTATTGTTTTATGATAAAATAGGGTTTTTTTTTGACAAAAAAGGTATAAAAAAATTTTATATTTTATGCATAAATAATAATGGGAAATAATAAATAAAAAAATAAATAAACTTTCTTCAAAAATTACTTGATTTCTTTAAATCCAACATGGAATTAATTTAAACGAATTTTCTCAAAAAAAAAATAGCCCACACACATTTTTATATAAATATTTTAAAATTAAGATCTTTTAAATTATTATGTTTAAATAAAATAATTATACAAATAAATGTAAATATAAATATCTAAACTAAAGAAAAAATGAAAAGAAAAATGAAAATAGGAAAAAAAAAGTTATATATATTTATAATTTTTTTTTATTTTTTTTTTATTTTTTTTTTTTTTTGAACCGAAAAATTTTTTTAATTTTTTTTTTTTTATTTTGTTTTTTAATTTTATTTTTAACATTATTATTTTTAATATAAATTATAAAAAAAGATGTTTCAAGAAGAAATTGCAAAACAATTATCAGCTATCACTGAAATTGAAGCATCAAAGATTTTAGAATGCATTGAGTCAACTAAAAATAAAGAATTAGCAGATTTTGCAGTTCCAATCCCAAAATTAAATAAATTTAAGAAATTAGTTGGCAAACCAGATCAATTAGCTCAAGATTTCGCAACAAAGATTCAATTAAATGACAATATCAAAGAGGTTAGTGTCAGTGGTACCTATTTAAATTTCAAAGTTAATCGTTTAATTCAAGTTAACAACATTCTTAAAGAAGTCATTGAAAAGAAAGAACGTTATGGTTTAACAAATCAAGGTGCAGGTAAAAAGATTATTGTCGAATTTTCATCACCAAATATTGCCAAACCATTCCACGCTGGTCATTTACGTTCAACCATTATTGGTAACTTTATGATCAAAATTTTCAAAGCACTTGGTTATGAAACTGTTTCAATGAATTATTTAGGTGATTGGGGTAAACAATATGGTTTATTAGCTGTTGGTTTCGGTAAATATGGTTCAGAAGAAGAATTAGAAGCTGATCCAATCAAACACCTTTACAATGTTTACGTTAAAATCAATGCTGATGCCGAAGCTGAAGAAGAAAAGAAAAAAGCTGGCGAAGTCGTCGAATCTACCATTCACGATAAAGCTCGTGCCTACTTTAAACGTATGGAAGATGGTGACAAAGAAGCCTTATCACTTTGGGAACGTTTCCGTGATCTTTCAATTATCAAATATAAAGACATTTACAGTCGTCTCAATGTAGATTTTGATATTTATTCAGGTGAAAGTAAAGTATCTGAGGGTATGGATGTCGAATTTAAAAAATTAGAATCAATGAATTTATTAGAAGAATCACAAGGTGCTAAAGTTGTTGATTTATCAGTAAGTATAAATAATAATAATATATTTCAAATATTTTATGTATATTAATATTTTCTTTTTTTTTTTTTTTTTTTTATTACAGAAAGAAAAACTTGGTAAAGTTTTAGTTCAAAAAACTGATGGTACTACACTTTATATTACTCGTGATATTGCTGCTGCCGTCGATCGTAAAAATAATATTGGTTTCGATAAAATGTATTATGTTGTTGCATCACAACAAGATCATCATTTCCGTCAATTATTTGCAGTTTTAAATAAAATGAAATATGATTGGACCAAAGATCTTACTCACATTAATTATGGTATGGTTAAAGGTATGTCAACTCGTAAAGGTACTGTTGTTTTCCTTGAAGATATGTTAAACAAAACCAAAAAGAAAATGTTAAATATCATGAAAGAAAACCAACAAAAATTCGCCGAAATTGAAGATCCAGAAAAAGTTTCAGATACTCTTGGTTTATCAGCTATCGTCATTCAAGATTTCAATGCTAAACGTAGTAAAGATTACGATTTCAACTGGGACCGTATGTTAAAATCAGATGGTGATACCGGTGTTTATCTTCAATATGCCCATGCTCGTCTCTGTTCTGTTGAACGTAAATCTGGTTGTCAATTCAACCCAGAAGCCAATTTAATGCTCTTAACCGAACCAGAAGCTTTCAATCTTGGTATTCAAATCGGTAGATTCCCAGAAGTCATCCAAAACACCTTTACTCAAGTTGAACCATCCACCCTTGCTGGTTATCTCTTTGAATTATCTCATGCCGTTTCAGCTGCTCATAATGTTCTTTGGATTAAAGATCGTGAAAAAGATATCGCTGAAGCTCGTTTTGTTTTATTCTGGGCTGCTAGAACTGTTTTAAGCACTGGTTTATCATTATTAGGTTTAATTCCATTAGAAAAAATGTAAAAAAAATAAAATTAAAAAATATAAATAAATTTGACTAAAAAAGTTATCTTAAAATAGATATATTGTTTTTTTTTTATAATTTATACACTAATTTTTATTTAAATTATTTAGATATATGGTTTGTAAACTATATTCTTATTTTTTTATTTTCTAATTTTAGCAACTGGGAGGAGGAGTTGGTGAGTAATATTCTATATTAACCTTTCCATCATTTTGTATATTCTCTTCTTGTTCCTCTTCTTCTTGTTCTTTTTCTTGTTCTTTCTCCTCTTTTTTACTGATACTGCTATTCTCTTCACATTGATTTTTACTTTCAATTATTTTATTACTTGAGAAAATATCTTCATCATTACTACTGTTAAAATTTGTATGGTCAATTTCATTATTATTGTTATCTATATCATTATATTGATTATCTGTATTATTGTCTGTATTATTATCTGCATTTTTATCTGTATTATTGCTGTAATAGTTTTTATTTATATCTTCAATGCTACTTTTGTTTATATTGTCATTGCTATTTTGAAAGTTTGATTGTGAGGTTTTTAGAAGAGAGGAATGCATCCTTTTATTTGGAAACTGAGAGTAACCCATTGTACTTGGTATAAAGTTAAATGGTGAACTATTTAATCCCAACATGCCATCTCTGCTTGTTTTAAGTGATTTTACTTTATTACCATTAATAATTTGATCTTCATCAAATGAAAATGAAAAGTCTGAAATAAAACTTGAAGGTTGGCTTTCATTATTATTATTATAGTTATTATTATTATTATTATTGCTTATAGTAGAGTCATTATTAAAATCTTTGTTATTTTTATTTTTATTACTGTTACTATTATCACCCCTATTTATATTTTTTTTTGAATTGAGTTCACAATTGTTGTTATTATTTTTACAGTCATCATACATGTCAAAATTAAAAGAATCGATTTGATTGTTTTTTGAAGGTGATTTTAATTTTTTTGAAGGCGGGATGTTATCATGATAACTATCTATTTTGTTGGTAAATGTTAATTGTTGCTGATTTTTTTTACTTTTTTCTTCTAAAAAAGTTTTTATGTTAACGTTATTTTGTTGATTGTCAATATTGGTTGTTTTATTAGGAAATATATCAATATTGGTTTGAGATACTGGTGTATGTATTATATCTTCATCGATTGGATTGTAATGACTTTGTTCGAATTTTTCTAAAATTGATTTTTTAAAATTATTTTCATTATTATTAATATTATTATTGTTTATATTATTATTATTATTATTATTATTATTATTATTATTATTATTATTATTATTATATACATTAATATTTATATTATTATTATTATTAATATTATTATTTAAATTATTATCAATATTATTATGATTAGTCTCTGGGAAATTATTTGATTTAAAATTGAACTTGGCTGAACTAGATTGTAGATTTGTTGTGGGCTTATGAATAAACCCCTATTAATATAGTTAGTTAAAATAGTTTACTAAAAATAATAATATATTGATATATATAATATATATTTATACATACTAATGATACTTTTTGACTCCCAACTTTAACATTTAGTTTTTTGTTTGGAGACAGTCCTAATAAAAGGGCCACATGGGATTGTGGATCTACATTTGTAGGTATACTACCATTGTTATTATTACTATTATTACTATTTAAATTATTACTGTTAATACCCAAATTAAAATTATTTAAATTATGATTTAGACTATTACTTTTGATTTTATTTTGCATGCCTATGTAGTTTATTTAATAGAGGGGTATATAATGAAATAATGATATTGTTTTAATATGGTGTGTGGAGCCATTTAGAAAGAAATAATATTTTCCAAGAACTTTTTATTTAATTAAAATAAAATAAAAAAAATTAAAAAAATTTTTTTTTAAAAAAAAAAAAAATTTAAAAATTCCCATATTTTATTTTATTTCATTTCATTTATTTTTTATTTCGCTGTGGGTTCGAGATATGTCTCAAAATAAAAATGATATCATAATAATAGATTCCGATGAAGAGGATCATAAACCTACTACACCACTGCAGAATAATCAAAAAAGTAATAAACCAGATACATTTATAAATAATAGTAATTACAATAATCGAAAATATACTAATAATAGCAATAGCAATAGCAATAGCAATAAAAATAGTAATAACAGTATTGGAAATAGCAGCAGTAGTAAAACAAATAATAGTAACTCTCCAAAAAATATTTCAAAATCAAACTTACCCAAATATAATAGCGAACATAGAAGGAAATTTTTAGCAGAGATTCATGAAAAAAGATTGGGTATTGGTAAAAGCATTCAGTGTATAGAGATTGATGAGGACTTTTTTAGTGACAACAATAATATAGATGATATAAATAATAAATATATTGTAAAAGAGGAAAATAGTAATATAAATAAACCAGCCACAACAACAAAAACATCAGCATTACCAATACCAACAACAACAACAACAACAACTACAACAACAAATTTAAATAAAAACAATGTAAATAATTATAGCACCAATAACAATGTAAATAAAAGCACCACAAACACACCATTCGATTTTCAAGCATCATTAAAATTAAGAAAAGAAATTGATTCAATTCGAAACTCAAGACATCAAAGCTATAGAAATAATAAGCTTGGGCAAAAGAAAATGTATAGTTTAGATGATATAGAACAGTTAAAAAAAGATGAAAACAACCAAAGAATCATAGCAGCCTCAATGGATACTACCATTAAACCGCCTTCACATGGTGTGCATACAATTGATAATACTCTGCAACATCCTGAAGCAATAGGTAGAAAAGCACTAGAATTAACAAATACATTTAGAAAAACTCTGAATTTACCGCCATTATTATGGAATCAACCTGTTTATTTAGTTGGTGTTGAACATAGCAAAAGTATATACAATTCATAACCTATAACATAAATGTTATTAATCACACTAATATATTTTTTATTAATGTTCATATAGATATGGGTGAAAAAATAGAAGAGTTTGGGCATGGAGGATTTAAAGAAAGAGTAAAGAAATTTCCATTTAAGTTTAAAAGTGTTGGGGAAAATGTGGCATATACAAACTCAAGCAATGTTGCAGAGCACGCTGTAGATGGTTGGATCAACTCACCAGGTCATAGAAAGAATTTAGTTGGTAACTTTAATGTATGTTCTATTGGAGTATACAAAAACTCTGAAGGGTTTTGGTATTTAACTCAACTATTTGCTTTATGCTCATAAATAAAGAATAAAATTTTTCTTATTTTTTATTTATAAATAATAAATCGTAAATTTAGACCATTAAAAGATTAAATTTTTTTTTTTAATTTACTAAAAATAAAAACACTTATCACAAGAAATATATTCTTTATTGAAATCTTTTAAAAAATAGAGATTGGATAATAGTTCCAACATTTTTTTATAAAAAATCAAATTTATTTTTAAAATAATTTTGCTTATTTTTTTTTATTTTTTTTATTATTTTTTTTAAATTTTACTAAAATATTTATTTATTTTATAATAACAATGAATGAGCTACTATCATCTCTAATTAACTTTCAAGTAAATGAGGAGTTAAAAAACAGTAGTAATATTAGTGATAGGTAAGGACAATACAATACAACACAAAAATATAAATAATAGATTCATTAAAAGCATATTGGTGTTTTCTCTTTTTAACTATTTATTATAGATTATTATTTATAGTTTGGAATAATATATTTTTAAGAAATGAAATTCATAAACATATTTTAAAGTTTATTGAACATGGGGTTGTAAAACTTGATAAAGCATGTTACGACAAGTATAAAGATATATCATATATAACAACACTTAAGTGGAATGGTGATACACTACCTGATAAAAATGAATTTCCACCATTTTTGACAGATTTATATTTGTACTCAAAATTTAATATGTTACCAATAACACTACCAAATAGTCTTACATCACTCACATTCGGTAATGATTTTAACAAATTAATTAAACCCGGCTCATTACCAAATAGTCTTACATCACTCACATTCGGTCATAAATTTAACCAAGTAGTTACACCCGGCTCATTACCAAATAGTCTCACAACACTCACATTCGGTACTGATTTTAACAAAGTAATTAAACCCGGATCATTACCAAATACTCTCACAACACTTACATTCGGTGATAATTTTAACAAAGTATTTAAACCCGGCTCATTACCAAATAGTCTCACAACACTCACATTCGGTTATGATTTTAACAAAGTATTTAAACCCGGACCATTACCTAATAGTCTCACAACACTCACATTCGGTACTAATTTTAACCAAGTATTTAAACCCGGATCATTACCAAATGGTCTCAGAACACTCACATTCGGTGATAATTTTAACCAAGTAGTTACACCCGGCTCATTACCAAATAGTCTTACATCACTCACATTCGTTGATGACTTTAACCAAGTATTTATACCTGGCTCATTACCAAATAGTCTCACAACACTCACGCTCGGTCATGAATTTAACCAAGTAGTTCCACCCGGCACATTACCAAATAATCTCACAACACTCACATTCAGTTTTAGATTTAACCAAGTAATTCTACCCGGCTCATTACCAAATAGTCTCACAACACTCACATTCGGTTATTGTTTTGACAAAGCAGTTCTACCCGGTTCATTACCAAATAGTCTTACATCACTCACATTCGGTAATGAATTTAACCAAGTAGTTATACCCGGCTCATTACCAAATAGTCTCACAACACTCACATTCGGTGAAAATTTTAACCAAGTAATTAATCCCGGATCATTACCAAATAATCTCACAACACTCACATTCAGTGATAATTTTAACCAAGTAATTAATCCCGGCTCATTACCAAATAGTCTCACAACACTCACATTCGGTCATGATTTTAACAAAGTAATTAAACCCGAATCATTACCAAATAGTCTCACAACACTCACATTCGGTGAAAATTTTGACCAAGTAGTTACACCCGGCTCATTACCAAATAGTCTCACAACACTCACATTCGGTCATAATTTTAACCAAGTAGTTCCACCTGGCTCATTACCAAATAATCTCACAACACTCACACTCAGTTTTAGATTTAACCAAGTAGTTATACCCGGTTCATTACCAAATAGTCTTACATCACTCACATTCGGTGATAATTTTAACCAAGTAGTTACACCCGGATCATTACCAAATAGTCTTACATCACTCACATTCGGTCATGATTTTAACAAAGAATTTAAACCCGGCTCATTACCAAATGGTCTCAGAACACTCACACTCGGTTATAAATTTAACCAAGTAATTAAACCCGGCTCATTACCAAATACAATGAGAGCATCTGGTTTTAAGCATCCATTTATGTCTTTTTGTAACATGTTAAGTAATTAACTATTAAATAAAATAATCAGTCATGTTTAATATTTTCCATACCAAATAGTCTCACAACACTCACATTCGCTCGTAGTTTTAACCAAGTAGTTACACCAGGTTCATTACCATCATCTTCTTTACCAGTTGTAGTGGAATTATCTAAACTTTTATTAATAGTTGAATTATTTGTACTATTATTATCATTATTTTTTATTATTATTTTTTGTAAAATAGGGTTATATTTTCTCCTCAAAGTCATCATATATTTATCATTAAAAAATAATTTTTATTTTATTAATTTTTTTCTTACATTATTAAAACAGGCCTGAAAAAAACAATAATAATAAATTAATCAAATTTTTGATTATTGGTAAAGATGAGTGGTAATAGTGGTATTCTAAATAGCAATAGATAAATAATAAAAATAAAATAGTCAGAGTTTCTATCAGAAGTAAGCAAGATATCATTAAAGAGGTTTCAACATGATACTCAACAATATTGGAAAACTATATCGATAAAGATGAGGTAAGCCATACTGTCACCCCCTCAAACACTCATATTTTCGTGTTTTTCGTTTATCTAACCACTTTTTTTTAAAATTTTTTTTTTTTTAATTTTAATTATTTTTTGATTACTTTTTAAAATTTTTTTATTTTTAATTTATTCATCTTTTTATAATATTCATAGTATTTAGATGTAATCAAAAAGTTAAATGGACATGATGGTGTTTTAAATAAGAAGGCAATTACAGCGTGTATGGTTATACTGTTAATAGGTATTGTGTGTTGGGTGGTATTTCAAATAACATATTATTAAATAAAGATGACGATAAAAGTGGTTCAACAGGCGATCAACCTCCATCCGTTGTGGCAAGTCAAATAGTATTCTTTTCAGTGGGGGGGGTAACTTTAATAAACTCTGTAGTGTTTTTAATATTTATTTATAAAGTGCCTTTTAAAAATGTAAAAACCATTAGAAAAACCTTATCAAGATATAATCAAAAGTTTTATCAAGAAAGATCGAATTCTTTGTGAGAATGAAGAGAATTTTGTAAGTATTTATTTTATAAAATTATTTATATTAAACTCAATATTAATTTATTTAAAATAAAAAATTTAAAGATGAAAATAAGTATACCTTCAAATCCTTTACCATACAGCGACTCAAAAAATAGGTATAACGAAAAAACCTCATTATTAAAGCAACCAACAAATAAAAGATTTTAACAAATATTGATTTTTGACCCTCATAAAGAAGAATAATATAGAGTTTCAAGTTTCAAATGAAAAAGAGGAAACAAGTGATGAAAAAAGAGGTAATAGTGATAGTGATAGTGGTAATAATAATCAGCAGGCAATACATATTATAATGCAAATTTATAAATTTTTGTTAATAAAAAAAAAAATTAAAAAAAGAAGAAATCAATTGAAATTAATCCAATCTACTCAACCACCCAATCAATAAAAAATCTAAATAAATTATTCAGTTATTATTAACTCTTTAGATATTAAATATTTTTTCTCAAACATTCAAAAAAATTATTATTCACCCCATAATCTAAGAAATTTTTTTTTGAAACTTTTTTTTTATTTTTTTAAATTTATATTTTTATTTTATTCCAATCATAACAAATCAGATTTTGAATTAATTGTAATTTGTTTTTTTTATGGGTGTTGAAACTTTTTATTAAATTTTAAAAAAAATTAATTACAAGGCTTCTTTGATTACAAGGAGAACAAAAATAGAACCAATAAAAAAGTTGTAATCTTTCCTTTGGGGATATTTTTTTATTTATATATTTTATTTATAAATTTTTTTAAATGTTTTTCTTTTTTGGTGAAAATTTAAATTATAAAATGTTAAAATATTTTTTTTAAAATTTTTTTTATTTTTAACAAATAATTAAAATATTATATATATATATAAATTCAATTAAATATGGTTATAGTAAAAATTCAATGTAAAGAGAGTTTTGGTTCATTTGGATCATTTAAAGAAGATTTTCCATCAGAGTTACATGGCGTAATGAGTCCTACAGAGGTAAGTTTGAAATATATCTATACAAAATATATAGAATTTGAAGGTTCATTTTTTAATTTTTTATTTTTTTTTAACTTCAAGTATACAGATGTTATCAGAAATATAAATGAAAATTGTAAAGGAAAGTTCAATAAATGGTTTCTACTGTTTTTGCTGGGCCCCATTGCAGGTAATTATAATTAAAAAAAAAAAAAAAAAAAATTTTAAACCATAAATTTAATATTTTAATAGGTATTGTACTATTTATTGTCGGAGGTGTTAAATTTAAAAAAATCCAAGATGAACAAGTTAGTGACTCCAATTATTGGCCATGGCCTAGTTTTTCATATTCTTCCGATCATCAATCAAGTTACTTTCAAAACTCAAATAGTTATAACTCTTTTTCAAATAGTTATTACTATGGTTACATTAATCTTGAGGGTGATTTATCACCTAGTAATGCAAATAGTTTTAAACCTGGTTTGCCATTTTTCTATTTTATCATTGGTGCTATTCTTTTAATTTTAGGTAGTTGTTTCTTAGGTTTTGCATATTGGTTATTTAAAAGAAAGGTAAATGAAATATATTATCTTTATAATTAAATTAAAGTATTAATATTTGTTTTTTATATTAAAAAAATATAGACTATCGGTAACATTGATGAAATTTTAATTCAAATAAACCAAAAATATGTACAAAGACAAATAAAATTTGAATTTATCACAGAACTGGTTGAAAAACCAATACCTGATTGGGAATATAACAACAATAGAAACAATCAGGCTTATATGAACCAAGTTAAATATGATTCACAAGGTTGTCCCTGTAAAATGGAGGAGATATATTATTTAGGAATTAATTTCATGCCACAAAATATGCAAAATATGCAAAATATGCAAAATATGCAAAATATGCATAACATGCATATGCAACAAAATATGCAAATGCAACAAAATATGCAAATGCAACAACCACAGTACAATAATATTATTCCACCAGAAGCTAATTATAATAACAATCATATTTCATTAAATACACAAATAGAAATGGACGAATTTAATTGAAAAATAACAAAATAAAAAAAAGAAAAAAATATATATAAAATTATATTTATATATATAAAAAAATAACAAAATAATAAAAATATATATGGTACTATTTCATTCTATTAATTATTTTTATTTTTATTTTATCTTTATTTTTATTTTTATTTTTTTATATATTCGGAACAAAAAATACTATTATATTATTCAAATATTGATTCAATATATTTTATAAATCTACTTTGGTAATCTTTTGGGTTAATTGCTGATATTTGAGTCTAAAAAAGAAAAAAAAAGATGATATTAGTATTGAAACACCTTTTTAAAAAAAAAATTAAATTTAATATTAAACTTACTCTATCAAATAACATTCCTTTTACAGCATTTTCACCACGCTTTTTTAAATTATAAGTTGTTAAAATATCAATTAAACCTAAATAATAAACTATACCTCCATCACTTTCTTCTGTATTCGATCCATAAATTATATTTGAAGTTGATAATGGTGGTGGTTGTGGAGGGGTATGAATACTTTCAACAATACCATTAAAATCCTTTTTGAAATAGGATATATCCTTTTTCTCATGTGACTTTGGACCTTGAGATTCTTTAAGAGTTTGAATTGATTTCTTGTCACTTAAATGTAAACCAACCAATAAACTATAATCACATATACCATGGCTGCACATCCATTCAGAGTCGATTGATAACTGTTGTATAAATACTTTTTTTAATTTACCCAAATGAATCTTTCTTTTTAAATTTAAATCTTTGAAAGTTAAATCCTGGGTTTGAATATTAAAACTATTATCAACACCATTTATTTTACTGCTATTATAGCAACTACTATTGCTACTAATACAAGTATTCAAACTATCTGTACCGTTTAGATGGTGATGTTGTTGCTGTTCCTTGGCTAATTGTTGCTGAATTTGATTAACATCAACATATCTACCTATTGTTGAACCTTTTAAATCATATTTTTCTTTAATTTCCAACTTTTGTTCAGAATAGAAAAGATTGGCCATTACAACAAATATGATATCTCTATGGGCACTACTATAAAAGGAAGCACCACTTAATTTTAATTTACCCTTTAAACGATATACTCCCATGAATCTTGGAAGCAAAGAATTTGGATACTTTTTAATGTGTTGATAATATGATGGAAATAATTTAGCGAATGTGTCATACTCGCTTGATGGAATTGTTTTTATAAAGTATTTACTGTCCTCTGATTTATAGAAAAAACTACCACTTCTACCCACAGTTTGAACCTCTAAAAACTTTACAATATCAGATATCTCTGGGCTGCCTATTGATGATTTGGTTCTAAGGAAATCTTTGTCAACATTATAATATTTTCTTATTTCTTTAAAAACCTTTGGTGAGAATATTGTAAACTGCCAATTATCTGATAATGAAAATGTTAATGATGCTGTAGATAAATCTGTGTTGGCGATTACTGCTGGTGAGGCTATAGTTGTTATTTTTAATGAATCTGTTGTTGCTGCTACAGTTGCTGATGAACTTTCAGAAGTGGATACTGGTTGGTGTGGATCTTGTAGATGATGGAATTGATTTATAATCTGTTCTTCTAAATCTACGTCTGAATCAATTTTGATTTCAATATTGGTTGCTTGATTAAAATCTTCATTTGAAAAATCACTAATAATACAAGCACCGTCTTTTTGATTTGTTGGTGTTTCTCCAATACTATTTTTATTGTTTATATTTACATTATTTACATTTAAATTATTGCTATTATTATTACTATTATTATTTTGTCCATTGATAGCCTTTGAGTCAATATCACTTTCAAATAATTTTTTAAAACCAATAGTTAATAAATTAATATACTGTTGGGTTTCTTGATCTTGTACTAATTTTTTAGAATGATTTACACTAGCTGATGGTCTATAAAGGTTTTCTTCGATAACTTGTTTAGAATACTTTAAAAGATTAAATGGATTGACGAATCTATATGATGATGATGTGGATGGTGTTGATGAATTATTTAGTTGTTGTGGTGTTGTGGATGGAGGTGCATTATTTAATAAATTTGGTTCTAATGATACCGATGGTGGCTTAGTTGGTTGAAGATCTAACCATCCATTCGAATTGACCAAAGGTAAGTCAATGTCTTTTGGCTTTATCTGATCAATACCAATTTGTGGATCTGGATCATTTTTAATTTGTGGTTGCTGTAGTTGTTGTGGTGGTTGTAGTTTTTCTGGTTGTTGTGGTGGCTGTGGTTGTTTTGGTTGTTTTGGTTGTTGTGGTGGTTGTGTCTGTTGTGGTTTTTCTGGTTGTTTTGGATGTTGTGTTATGAGTTGTTGGAGCTTTTGGAGTTGCTCCTGTTGTTGGAAATGTTGGCGTTGTTGGATTTTTAGGAGTTTTTGGAGTTTTTGGATTTGTTTTCTTTGTTTTAGTCGTTGGTATTTTTGGTATTTTTGGTTTTGTTGGATGTGTTTGATTTGCAACTTTTGGTTTTGTTGGATGTGGTTGAGTTGAAGTTGCTGATGTTGGTTTTGGTGGATAAGTTGGAGATGGGATACCTGACTCTCCCAGTCGACGTTTATATTGGTTTTGGTGTTTTTGAAGCTACCAATATAAAATGATAAAACCAAACTGATGATAAAACCAACAAATAAAAAAACACACATAAATAAAAAATCATACATTTTTATTTACAATTGTTATACAAATAAAATAAAATAAAATACCAAAGATAAAATATAAAACTAAATAACAAAAAATTGATTAAAAAGAATACAAAAAAGATATATACAAAAAAAGATAAATACAAAAAAAAGTTATATACAAAAAAAAAAAATATTTACAAAAAAAGATATATACAAAAAAAAAATATTTACAAAAAAAAGATATATACGAAAAATAAGATAAACAAAAAAAAGATATATAAAAAAAAAGATATGTACAAAAAAAAGATATTATTTACAAAAAAAAAGAAAAAAAAAATAAAATGGAAAAATATACAAACAAAAAAGATAAAATATTTTTTACAAAAAAAAATGTAAATATTTACAAGTGAAAAAACAAATGATTATTATTATATGCAAGCTATTGTAAATAAAGTTGATGAATGAAAAATTATATGTGTGTGGTATGAAAACTATAATTTTTAATTAATAAAAAAAAAAAAAATTTTAAAATTCTATTTTTTAAAAAATTAAAAAATTATAAACAATTAAAAAAAAAAAAATAAATAAATAAAATTAAACAAAAAAACAATTCTCTATTAAAGAGGGAGTTTTCTTAATAATTTATTATAATATATATTATATGAATTTCATTGATATATTAGTTTCAACCTTATTTTATTTATTTAAAATTTAGATTTATAATATTTATTTAATCTATTTGTTTGGTTTAAAAATTTCATTAAATTCTCTCCCAATTGATATCCAAAATACCTAGATAAACTTTTACATTGTAAAAAAAGATTGGAAAAAAAAAGATTGAAAAAAAAAAAGATAGTTTATTTTTTTATATTTTTAATAATGGATTCAACTTTGCCTTTATTTAATAATATTTTTTATGTATTTTTTATATGATATTCAATAATAATGTCCCATTTGTTTTTTAAATATTGCTCTATCTATTATTTATACAATTAATGTTTTTATTTATTTATTATAATCTTACATTTTTTTTATATAGCTTTTATCTATCATAATTAACAAAAATAAATAAAATTATAATACATTTTTTAAAAGAAAATTACATTACATTTTTAAAACAATATTAGATAATTAGCTTTCATTATACACATTCTTATAAAAGTGATATAACAATCATTCATAAGATATTTTCAATTATTTAAATTTTTGAAAAATATTAAAAATTAATAAAATAAAATTTTATTTTTTTTTAAATTTTCACCCATTCTTCTGTAAATAAAAAATCATTTCACTCATTTTATACCACTTTATAATTTCATAATACAATAACACATTTTTTAATAATAAACATCAATCAAAATAAATTTATACTTTCAGCTCTCTCATCATCTATAGAATTCTATATTATTCACCAACCATTAGACCCCACTAAGTCAAGAAGATAAGTAGTGGTTTTATAAAGGGACCAAACAGTGAACAAATGTAGTGATAATAGTACATCTTGTGGTATTGCAGTGGTAGAGCAAATATTAAAGTAGTTATAGCAGAATATCAAATCAATTAAAATGATATTAGTTTAGTAAATAATATAACTTTTTAGATGAAGGAAGCAATTAAGTTACTAGTAATGAAACTTTTAAATCAAATTATCTCTAATGATTAAAACAATATCTACGAAATTAGTTCTGACCAATCAAAAATGGTAGAATACGGAAAAGAATTAGATGAAGATTTAGTGGTCCTTATCCTCAAAAAATCAATTAATGTAGAAAATATTAAAAACAAATTAAAACAGGTACTATACTCACTCTTGAAAGGAATAAACAGATGCCGTATTACTCCCTGTTTAATATATATATTTTTACTTATTTTAAATCTTATATAATGTTACACTTTTTGTAACATGTTTAATTATAGTTAACTATTAAATAATTAATTATAATAATATAGTCATGATATTTTCCTACCAAATAGTCTCACAAACATCCACGACAACTACATTCCAAGGGTAGAGTTTAACATGTGTTGGTAATGAGAAAGAACTTTAACTCTTCTACATTCTAATCTTAGAGACAAACCAAATTGCTTCGCTTTTTTAACACACGAATTAATAAAATCATCAACTGTCCGACCAATACTGCCCAACCAATTAAACTCGATATGACAAACATTGTTGGGCAAAATGTTTTATCATATTTCATAACAATCCATTCGAAACGATCAGCTTTGATAAGTCCCAAAAAAAAAACAATAAAAAACGATAATTTTTATAAAAAAAAAAATTATTAAAAATTTTAAAATTTTTTTTTTTGAGTTGCATAATAAAAATTTTATGTTTTTTTGATATAAATACTTGATAAAATAATAACTATTTTATTATTACACCAAATATTTAAATCTTTAAAAAAGATAAAATTTTAATTTTTCTTTAAATATTAAATTAAAAAATATAGTCACAGTTTTGGCTCAAATTTACAATTAATGTAAAAGTGATTCTTATAGTGACCTTGATATCTAGTTATCCACTCTGGCGAAATTAATACACCCTAAGTCAGTATCATTTCGATGGCAAAAGCGGAACATGCTTTTTGATCTAACTTTAAAAAAAATGGTCTTGAATTTTTTGTACTGTGGGGCCAATGTGATAAGGTTATGGTAGTTTTTTTGAAAAAAAGTCGTTAAAAAAAAAAAGAATTTTTTTTTTACGAAATAATTTTAAAAAAAAAAAAAAAAAAAAAAAAGAATTAAATTGCTGAAAAAATAATATTTTCTTTATTGATAAAATCCAAAGGGTATCAATATAAAGCCTACTTATTAATATAAAAAAAGCGAATAAAAATTATATATTTTGTTTTTTTTAAAAATATTATAATAATATTAATAATTAAAATTTAATTGGTTAATAATTTTAGATATCTAAAATTCGTAACGACTAAAACAGTCTACAACATCAGAGGCTGGAAATACATGTTTGATTTTAATATTGATTTGCTGTTGAGCTGTTGGCATTTCTATTTTTATTATTATTCGAAACACATGTGGGAATTACACAGGTACCAGCACCAATAAGTTATTTAATTGTTGTATTGTCTTTGATAGTCGATTTTTTTAGCTTTTTTAATGAATTGTTTTTTACCCCGCGCATTTTGCCCATACAAAATCATTATTTATAAGATCTAATATTTTAATTTGTTTGATGTAAAAATACTAAATAGTAATACATTTTTATTTAATGTTTATATAAAGTTTAAAAACAATATTTATAGAAATACAAGAATTTTATTTGATTTACAGTATAGTAAATAAATCTATATTTAAATTACTTTTTTTTTTTTTTATTAATTTAAATTTTTTTTTAAAATTTTTTTTTTTAATTTTAAAATTTTTTTTTCGTATTTATTTTTTATTTTTTTAATTTTTCATTTTTCATTTTTCTCAAATAATTATACAGTTTGAAGAAGAGATGTCATCAAATAATGATGTTGAAATGTTAGATGAGGATTCAACTACAAAAACCACCACTACTACAACTACAACCACAACAAATAATGGAAGCATGTTTTTTGATGAAGATGAGGATGGTGATTATGTAGAGCATGAAATTCCAGTCTATCTATCGCAAGGACTAGCCAATAATTTATATTTATTTCAATACCCACTTAGACAACCATGGAGACCTTATGATATGACAAAATTAGAGGAGCTTAGAATCAAACCAAAGCAGCAAAAAGTTGAAATAGATTTATCGATCGATCCAGAAACCGAAAATTATAATTCAGATTCAATGGTCAAAACTACTAAATACACATTATCATCAACTACAGTATCACATCGTACAAATTATGCAATAGGTTTAATGAAAAATGGTGAGCTTCATTTAACACCACTTCAATCAATTATTCAATTAAGACCACAATTTAAATTTTTTGATGATAAATGGCAAGAAGAAAAATTAAGAAAAAAACAAGATTCAAAAGAAGAAGATGAAGAAAATGAAGAGGAACCAGAAAAGCCACCACCAGTAAGTTGTTTAATTGTAAATTTTTCTTCATTTTAAATCCTTTTATTAATAAAATTTAATTATTATAGATTCAATTTAAAAAACCAGGTGCTAAAATGGCAGCACAACAACCAAATTTAATAAAACAAATGGAAGATAGTGAACAATGGATAAAAGTTGATTTAGTGGATGATGAAGTATGTACTAATGATAACATTGATAATAATAATAAATACTAACTATATTAAATAATTAAATTTTTTATTTTAGTTTAATCAAGATTTAATTAATCATTTCGAAAAATTACAATGTGATGATACAATCAATTCAATTGATTATGATTTAAATGAAGGTCAATATTTTGATTTATTATGCCCAGTTCAAAATGATGATCAAGTTTGGCAACCAAAGAAGAGTTATATTCAAGAAACAGAATCATTAGAAAGTATTCATAAATTAAAATTAGCAGGTCAAATTAAAGGTATTATGACCAATGGTCATGTTGTTCCATTTAGCAAAATTGTACAGTTACTTAGTCCAAACGTAAAGAGAGGTGTTATGGAAGTCGATATCATTGAAGAATTAGAAAAAGTTGCAGTTTTAGTTAGAGGTAGATGGGTAGTCAAAAGTTTTTTCGTTGCAAAGGATCAAGATTTAGAGTATGGCAGAGATTATTTATTATTAGAATTTTATGATCACGAAGATGGTATCGATAAGAAAGAATTTTGTGACAAAACCAAAATCTCTTTTGAAGATGGTAGAGAGCTTTTAAGCAAAATTGCAGATCTTAACAATGTAACCCGTAGATGGTATTTGAAGAAACAGCCAGATGAAGACTTTTTATATCGTAATGCACGTATTTTAGAGAACAGCGAAAGATATTTCGAAGATCATAGGGAAGAAATTTTAAATAGAGTTAAAGAAATGGCAAGTCCAAATAGAAATTCAATCTTTGGTTTCACTAAAATTCCAGCAAATTATAGAGAAGGTAAAACTGTTGAGCATCAATTATTATTTTTATTATACAATATTTTCAAAAAAAGTGGTGTTGCCTCAATCGAGTTTATTAAGCAATCCATTGCCCATCAAAGAGAAGCTAAATCTGATAATAATTTATTAGGTCAAGTAAATGATAAAATGGTTGATGATCAATTAAAGAAAATGGCAACTATTGTACGTTATAATTATGTTTTAAAATCAGTTGGTAATATAAAAATCGATAAAGTAAGTTTTTAAAAATCTTTAATTATTTTTTTAATTTATAAATTAATACTAATTTTTTTATTTGTTTTAGTATCGTGATATTATTTTAGAAGCATTTAATAAAAAAGTTGGTTTACAAAGAGATGATATTATTGAATTTTTAAAAGAAAAGATGGAAAACAATTATGTAGATATCCCAGCCAATACATTTTCATCAATTATGAACGAGTTGGCAACTATAAATGGTAAAACTTGGATTTTTAAAGGTGGCAAAAACTAAAAAATAAAAAAAAATAAAAAAAAACAAATAATAATAATAATTTTATTATTTAAATTTAAATTAATTTTATTTATTTATATTATTTCTTATACCGATATGTTGTAAAAGATATATAAAAAAATTATACCCATGCAAAAAATTATTTATTTTTTTTTTTATTTTCTTTTTTTAAAATTATTTTTTTTATTTTTTTTTATTTTTTATTTTTTATTTTTTTTAATTTTTTTTAAAAATTTAATTTATTATTTTTATAAATATTTAAGAGTTATTATTACTATATTTTATTTTATAAAATGAGTATAAATAAAATATCTTATAGTGACGAATGGAAAAAAGAGTTAAGAAAAGCAACAAGATCAAGTTTAATAAATATTACAAATGAAACCGATTTTCAACTTCAAAGAATATCTTGTAAATTACAACAGGGTACATTTAGATTAATTCCACCTGGTATGTAAATAAACAAATTATAGTAATAACGATAGCTTTATTATTATTGGTAAAATGTAATATTAATATTTTGTTTAAAAAAAAAAAAAAGAAATTATACCTCCAAAATCAAGTATTGAATTTGGGTCGGAAAGTAATACATTTATGACAGGTACAAAGGGATCAGTAATTTATATTATATTACCACATCAAGTGGCACCAGTTAATGTGGGTTCAATTCAGTCATTAACACATTTATCAAGTTTAAAATTATGGGAACCATTTTTATATGTTGTAATTGAATGGTCAACACCATATTGGTCATCACACAGCTGCAGTATTCAATTGCAACCACAACAATCCTCAAACCTATTAAATGTCAGAAATACATTAACAATGAGGGAGATTAACAAACAAATTCATTCAGAGGCAAGTATGTTTATACATGATAGTGAAAATGAACAAATTTCCTTTAAAGTTTATAAAACCACTACATCCCCAAGTATATCACCACAATTTACATCATTACCAAAAACATCTTCACCACAATCAAGTCCAACCATAATGACAAATAATAGTCCCTCAACAAGTTTTTTAAATAGTTCTGGTTTTTCAATAAGTTCAGCAACAATTGATAGCGATTATACCGGCATGGGTTCAAGTTATTCTCCTATGACTACATCTCAATCAACATCATCAATACCAATAGTACCTGGAATCAATAACAGCAATAATAGTAATAATAATAATAATAATAATAATAATAATAACAATAACAATAACAATAGTAAAAATTCGATATCATCATCATTACCAACATTTTTTTCAAATAGTTTATCGTTTCCTTTACCATGGTCAAGCGATTCTAATGATAATAATTGGAAAAGTAATATTAAAAGAGGGTCAAGAGGTCAAATTATTGTAATTAAAAATAATACAGCTAAACATTTAATACGTAGAAATCAAGCTTTAAACAGTGGCAGATGGTGTGAACCACCACCAGAAGGTATACCACCCAATAGTTTAGTTGAGTTTGGTAGTGTCAGTAGTGGTTTCGCTCAAGGCACAGAGGGTGTAATATATTATCACTCTCAAGGTTCAAAAGGTGATTTTAGATTTCAATTTAATAATCCACTTATGGGCAAAGCAAGTTTTTCGTCACATTGCCCAAACAATTTTAATATTGAAGAGAAATACTTGGATGGAAATATTTCAACAGTTTATTTTCAAATTAATGAAGGTGAAAAGAGCAGTAGTTCAAATGAAACTGAAAATTTAAATTCAAGTAATAATAGTATAAATTCAGAAAAAGAAAACAAAGAAAAAGAAAATATCAAGCAAAGTGTATTTATTTATGATGACTCGATTAGAATATTTTCGTTTAATATTGGTATGCTAAATGTTAAGGAGTTTGATGTAGACAAAGAAGAGACAAGTGGTATTTCTGGTAAAAATAATAAAGACAATTCCAATATTTTAAATTTTAGAGAAAAGGAAAAGGAAAATAATAATAGCACCAATAAAAGCAAGGATCAATTAAATTCAAGTTTAATTAATAAAAGAGTAGAGAAAATTGTAAAGAATTTAATCAATTTTTCAGAGAAATATGATATTATTTTATTACAAGAGGTGTTTTTAGACTCATCCAGAGAAATCCTAGTAAAGAACCTCAAAGTATTTTATCCTTATATCATCGATAGATATTGTGAAAATAGTGGTTTGTTTTTTGCTTCAAGATTTCCACCAGTTTGGAGCGAATTCAGACAATTTAATAATGGTATTGGTACTGATGTTAAATATTTAAGAGGTGTTCAAGGTGTAAAATTAGATATTTCAACTATTAAGGATAACTCATATCTATATGTATTCAATACCAATATTCAATCGAATCCTGATAATTCAGTAGCATGGCAAATGGTAAATGGTGATGATAAACAAAAAAAAGCCTCAACCGTTAGAACTTTACAACTTCAATCAATTCGTGATTTTATCTCGACAGAGTTGGCAATGCAATCAAACTCAATTTCAAATTCTGGTTTAATTTTAGTTGGTGATTTAAATATTAATGCTGAAATCGAACAGGTTATTTCTGATGAAGGTAGCATTACTCTTAGTCAGATAATACCAGAGCTAGCAAAGAAGATTAACAATAAAGAATTACATTTAACATTTAGCTATCAATTATTAGAACATTTAAATGAATTAAATATCCCAATGAGATATTTGGGTATACTCCGTTCTCAGGTCAATAACAATCGTATGAAGAGTCTAATTTTAACTGAAATGATAACCTTCATCATTAAAAAAGATATCATTGAGCATTTAACACAACGTCATAATCAACATCAATCAAATATTTATGAAGATGAACAAATCTATAAAGAGGTCGTATTGGATACATTCAATTTAGTTTTCCATTATACTCGTAAAGATTGTATACAATTTTGGCGCCATCATCTTAGAAAACGTCTTAGAGCAGAGTTTAGTTCAGCACTATCAGAAATCGAACAACAAGAATGGGTAGATTTGCGTACACATGTTATAAATTTACAATTATTCAATAGCTTAAAGTATAGTTTAGAAATTACATTAAATCCAAAAGCAGTGTTCCAATTAATGAAGGGCTCAAAAATCAATACTAAAGAGGTTTTACCAATACCATTAATCCAAGATGATCAAATAGAGGAGATTATTTTACCACCATTAACAAGCTATTGGGGATCTGAATCAAATAACGACATTAATTATTTCTCAAGTATCGACTATTTAAAGAAATTACAAAAAGAACAAAAACAGCAGCAATCACAACAACCACAATCACCACCACAATCACAAACTCTAAACTCTGATAGTTTGAATATCATTGATAATCTAGATCAAAATTCATCCCAATCAAATAATAATATTCAAATCTATTTGAAACCAACCGAAGAGTATTTAGAAATGTTAAAGATTTTAGGTAATCCAGTAGATCTATTTAGGGAATGTAATCCATTTTTACCAGGTTATACAATTCACCAAGCATTAAATCAAAGAGTAGAAAAGACCTCATCAAAAGAAAGAATTGATTATATCTTTAATTTTAAACTATCTCCAAATTTTGGTGATCACGAAGGAAGAAATCAACTATTAAAACTTGATTGTACAGAAATTAATTTATTACCAATGGGTGCGACACCACAAACAAGATTATCCAATCATTTCGCATTAGAATGTATATTAATAATTAAAAAATAATAAATTAAAAATATATTTTTTTTTTTTATATAAATTATTTTGAGATTTTAAACCTTAAAACCAATAGCTTTAATAACTATAAATCCAAAAACTAATCAATATTTTATATTTATATTCCAAAATAGCTACTACTATAATTTAGTTAAAAAAAATTAAAAATATAAAAAATATAAATTAATATTTTTCTTTTTTAGTGGGTAAAAGATCCATATATGACATGTCGTCAGAAACTGTAATTCAAGTATTATCGAGTGAAATTCCCGATAATAAAGATCATTATAATATTTTATTAGATGAAGATGACTTTAATGAAGGTGATAGTGACGATATTTAAATAAAATAATATTTTGATAATAATCAATATTTATTTAATTTTTTTTTTTTAAATTTTTATACAACCAATTTCTTTCATCCATAACTTTGAATGAAAAGACAATGTGTTTGGTATATTGTTCATTATTTTCAATTATGTAAGTTGTTCATTTTTAATATATATATTATTTTTGTTTATTATTGGCATTATCATTTTAATCTATACTTTAGCTAAATTATATAGATTTTCATTTGAAAAACTAATAAAAAACAATGAAAATAAATTAGAAAAACTATATATTGGTCTTGAAAAATTATTTGATGAAAGAAAACGTGAAACTGATTTTGAAAACACCAAAAAACTTTTAGAGAATTAAAGATAGATTCTTTTTATAAAATTTTTAATTTTTTCAATAGAAGTTTGAAATAAATTGTGTTGTTTTAAATATATTTTTATTTTAATTAAAGCAATATTGATTATAAAACTGTAAAACATTCTTTTGTTTATATAGACCACGTCTTACCTTACTTCTTTTTTCTAGTAACATTTTCTGAGCTTGTTCTATTGATATCCTTTTGGAGTGAGCCAACCAACAAATAGCAATGGCACCACTTCTGCCTCTACCAGCTTTGCAGTGAATAAAAACACGATTTCCTGACTCTACTTGTCTTTGTATAAAATCAATTGATGATTTAATTTCTTGTACTGTTGGTTCATAATGGTCCACTACCGGTATATAAAGTTGAGTTATTCCGTATCTAGTATATTGTTGAATGGGACCATTATATTCATCACATAGATTTACAACTGAATTAATTTGATATTTTGATACCAACATTTCGATATTATAAGACATTGGCATGGCACCTAAATAAACATTGTCATCAATTTGACTTATTAATGGTCCTCTTAGTCCTGCCCATTGGAATAACATTACAAGTGGTGATGTAAAAAAATGAAATACTCTTCCAAAATATCTTGCAAAACTAATTGGTAATCTAGCTTTATAAAATAAATATAAAGTGATTAATATTTTAATTGGTATTATTATAGTTAAAAAGTTGGTGAATGTAATTTGTTGTGGCGTATTTGAAATGACATTATTATTATTTGTATTAAAATTATTATTATTATTCATTATAGATTGTAAATTAAATTATGAAATTAAAAATTAAAAAAAAAAAAAAAAAAAATTATCGTTTTTAAAATTAAAAAAAATTTAAAAAATAAAAAAATAAAATTTAAATTAAAAAATATAAAAAAATAAAAATAAAATATAAAAAACAAATATTTACAATTACAATAACATGAAAATAAACTCATAAATATATACAAACCTATAATATAAATAATACTAAATTATAATTTACCATTTTGATTAATACCAAAGTTGTTTGAAAAATTTATATTTAGATTTCGTTTTTAAAAGAATCTTTTTATTTTTTTTCACACAAGCAATTTCTTTTCTTGAATTATTTTTTGAAAAATCCAGAAATAAGAAAAAAAAAAACCATTCTTTTTACTTCAAAAAGCATATTCCAGAAATGAAATTAAAAAAAAAAATTTAAAAAAAAAATTTAAAAAAAATTTAATTTTTTAAATTTCTTTCTTTTTTTTTTTTTTTTTTTTCATTTATTTTTTTTTTTAAACATTTACAATCAAATTTATATATAACTAATTAAAATGTCAAAAAATTTACTTGTTTTAGGTGGTAGTGGCTCACTTGGTGCTGAAATTGTTAAATTTTTCAAAACTAATGGTTGGAATACCATCTCCGTTGATTTCCGTGATAGTCCATCAGCCGATCTTTCATTAACCATTAAAGATTCTGGTGAAGAAGAAATCAATAGTGTTATCGAAAAAATCAACTCAAAACGTAAATATTACTTTATTACCTTTTAATAGTTTTAAAAATAATAATAACTAATTGGTTTTTTAAAATATAGAATTACGTATTGATACTTTTGTTTGTGCTGCTGGTGGCTGGACTGGAGGTGATGCATCAACCGATGGTTATTTAAGTTCAGTTAAAAAAATGATCGATATGAATTTATATTCAGCATTAGCTGCTGCTCGTTTAGGTTCCAAACTTTTAAATGAAGGTGGTTTATTCGTTTTAACTGGTGCTGCTGCCGCTCTTAACAACACTCCATTCATGATTGCTTATGGTGCCACAAAAGCTGCTACTCACCACATTGTTAAAGATTTAGCTTGCCCAAATGGTGGTCTTCCAGCCAAATCAATTTCCGTAGGTATTTTACCAGTTACTTTAGATACTCCATCAAATCGTTCAGGTATGCCAAATGCAAACTTTGATGATTGGACTCCATTAGAAGAAGTCGCTACCAAACTTTATGAATGGTCATCAAAATCAGAATCAAGACCAACCAACGGTTCATTAATTAAATTTGAAACTAAAAGCAAAGTTACTTCATGGATTAATGTATAAATAAAATAAAAATAAGAAATATAAAAAATAAATAAAAAAAAAATAAAAAAAAAAATAAAAAAAAAAGAAAAGTAAAACTAGTTTTTTTATAAATAATTTAAATTTAATTAATTTATTTTTTTAAAGATTTTAACAACAATAATTTATCTTGGGTTGTGTATAAATCGATACCGGATTCCATACTCTCTAAAATCATTGTTAACATACTGTCCTTGTAATATGGGTCATCTCTGAGTTTATCTAAATCATCGCCAAATTGATTTGTCATTCTTTCTACAAAAAATTCTCTAAAGTTTTTATTTATTTTATTGTTACTATTATTGTTATTACTATTGTTATTTATATTTGTTTCCTTTTTGTCATTCTATACAAAAATAAAAATGTTAATAAATATATTTATAATGATTTGTACTGTATTTTAATAATAATACGTTACATTTTGTTTAATATCTTCAATTTCATTTAAAGTTTTTTGGTTATTCTTTTGAATATCTTTCCATAAAGATAAATCATTATAGGTCGAAACTGGGTTATTGCTATTATTAGATAATGAAAATGATAATTGATTAATTAATGTTGAAATTGATGATGATGAAACTGGTGTATTGTTTTGTAATGATAAGGTTTTCTTTATTAATAAAAGAAGTCTAGTTGATAGTATGGATGATTTATCAATAAAGTAATCTTTTTCTTCCTCTTCTTTAGCTTTCTTTGAAATTCTCTTTTTATTTGGATAGTTTAATGTTGATGTGATACCATTAGAGTTTTTACCTAATAATAAATTTAATAAATCTTCTGTTATTTCATTTAAATCAATTTCTTTATTGCTGATATCCATTAAAACTTCGTCTTCTTTTTCTTCTATTGGTTCATTATCACTATTATTAGATTCTTTATCGCTATCTTTGCTGTCACTATCACTATCGCTATCACTGCTACTGTCGCTATCACTATTGCTTTCTTTATCTTTGTTGTTACTACTTTCGCTGTCGCTATCACTGTCACTATCACTATTATTTTTTTTTTGTTTTTTATTGTCATTATCACTATCACTATCACTGCTGTCACTATCACTATCACTATCACTGCTGTCACTTTCTTTTTTCATTTTCTTTGATTTGTCTTTCTCGTCATCGCTGCTGTCACTATCGCTATCACTGCTATCGGTGCCGTTGTTTTCTTGTTTTTTATTGGTGAGGGTTTCTTTTTCACTGTCGCTGCTTTCCGATGATGATGAGTCTGATGATGATGAATCTGATGATGAATCTGATGATGATGATGAATCCGAGTCTGATGATGACGATGAATCCTTTTTATTTTTATTTTTATTCTTGTTGCTTTCGCTGTCGCTACTATTGCCATCACTTTCTATTATTTTCTTTTTTTTATTTAAATTTTTATTATTATTTAATTTATTACTATCATCATCGCTACTATCTGAACTCGATGAATCATCGGATGATTCATATTTTCTTTTTTTTAAATCTTCTTTGTTTTGTTTACTTTTTGCCATTGTTAAATATATGAATGAAAAAAATACTCGTTTTTTTTTTTTTTTTTTTAATTTTTTAATTTTTTTTTAAAATATTTTTAAAATTATTTTTTTTTTTATTTTTTAAAAATTATTAGAAATAAAATTAAAAAAGAATTTCATATAAATATTTGTGCTTTATAAACAATACTTTATTTATGGTTTTTTATTAATATTTATTATAATATTTTTTTTTTTTTTTAATAAAAACATTATTATTATTTTTTATATTAATGTTTAAATAATATATATTTGTATTTTATTGTTGTTAAATAAATATATATATTTTTGTGTTTAATTTATAATTATTGTTCATAATCTTTTTTTTTATAAAAATTTTTTTTTAAAATTTTAAAAAACAAACAAAATTTTTATTTTTTTTATTTTTCTATTTTATATTTCAAAGGTCAAAACGAAATGAAATGAACAATTTCCAATCTAATGAAAGAAAAAATTCAGTTTATTTCGGTGTGAGAATTGTGGACATAGATTATTATCAAAGTAGACCAGTTAAAGAATTAGATATTACAATTTCTCCTTTAGATGGCAACGAAATCTACGAAGTACCTATATTAAGAATATTTGGTTCAACACCAGCAGGCCAAAAATGTTGTTTACATTTACATCAGCTATTCCCTTACTTTTTCATAGAGTACGATGGATCATTAAATACAAGCTATGTAAATACTTTTATTAAAAAATTGGTTTCAAGTTTAAATTTGGCATTAAATAATTCAATTTTTAATAATAATAATAATAATAATAATAATAATAATAATAATAATAATAATAATAATAATAATAATAATAATAATAATAATAATAATACTGACAACCAACCACATGTACAGTTTAATAAAAAGCAATATATATTTAATGCAAAGTTAGTTAGAGGTAGGCCATTTTATGGTTATCATTCAACTGATAAAATATTCATAAAATTATATCTGTAAGTTATTTATTTATTTATTTATTTATTTTAAAAAATTTAATATTAATATCTCTTTAAATATTAGATTTAATCCCGATGATATAAATAGAATTTCAGCACTATTAAAAAGTGGTAGTATTATGAACAGAGAATTTAGAGTATTTGAATCACATATACCTTTTGTATTACAAGTGTTTTTAGATTACAATTTATCGGGAATGTCATATATAGAATTTTCAAAAGCATGCTTCAGAACTCCACTACCATCAAATTTAAAGAAATGGGGCAATAAAATTATAGATAGAGAATTGATTCATTCTGGTGGTGCAAGTAATACCAACTATTTATTATCAACAGACATAAATAAAAAAATATGGTCCCAAAATCATTTAGAAAACCCAAATAATGATATCCCACTTTCAACTATTAAAAATAGAAAGACAACATGCGAGTTAGAAGTAGATGCAGTCATTTTTGATATAGCAAATTTCAATAGTAATAGTTTTACGCCCCCAAAAAATTCTGATATTGAAGAAAAGGTTGTAAAGTCACTGGGATTAATTTGGAACGAAGAGTTAAACAGAAGAAAATCATTAGGGATTGCCTCTCAGTTTACGCAAATACCAGATTTCACCAGAAAACCTGCCAATATTGGTTATTTTTCGAAACCTTTAGCAGTTGATCATATTAAAGAAATTATAAAGCATGAAAGAGATCAAATTCAAAATATTTTACAAAAAAAAATAAATAATAATAATAATAATAATAATAATAATAATAATAATAATAATAATAATAATAATAATACTATAAATAATAATAATAATAACAACAACAATAATAAAAATAATAATAGTTTTGGTAATAAACAAAGCCCATCAGATGATTCAATATCAAATATTTCATCCAATCCATCATTTAATGTTAATGTTTTAAATCAAAAAAACCAACAAGAAATTGAACAAGGAAATGATTTCAATATCGTTCAAACACCCCTTTCAAATATATCTTTAGATCAATTGCAAACAAATATTGAAATACAAACTACAAATTTTTTAAATGAAAAAGAGATTCAACAGGAAATTGCCCAAACTACTCCATCTAAAAACAATGATAAAAGCTTTACCCAAGATTTCAATGATGATTTTGAAAATAAAGAATTTGATGATCAAGAATTTTTTTCACAAAAAGAAGTTAATGACATTGTAAATACTCAAACTAAATTATTAAATATGTTTTTAGATAATGAGGATGATAAAGGTGATCTTTGGGCTTTAACAGAAAGTGATGATGATAGCAGCAATATTCAAGATTGTAATAATAATAAGGATAATGCTTTAGTATCCAACGATTCAAATTCACCAAGATCCCCATCCGAAAATATCCCTCAATATGATGGTACAACAGATAAAGATAAAGTAGGTTTTTATTATTTTATTTCTTTTTGTTTTTCATATTATTAATTCATTAAATATTTTTTAGTTTTCATCAAAGCCCAATTACAAAAATCAAAATCAAAATCAAAATCAAAATCAAAACAATAATAATAATAATAATAATAATAATAACATTGGTAATACTGGTTCTAGAAGCAATAGTAGAGGTTTTTCTTTTGGTCGTAATAATATTAATAATAGCAATAATAACAATAATAGAGGTTATACACATTTATTAAATAGAAAAGCAAATAGTTTTAGTATTGTCAAATATAGTACAATTAAACAATTAAATTTAAAAAATAATTTAAAACCATGTTTAACAAATAATGATTTAAATACCAATTTAGATGATTTAAATAATATCAATAATAAAAATAAAAGAAAAAGAGTTAGATTCGAATTTGATTTAAATAAAAAATCCAAAGAAAAGAAAATAAATATTATTGTACCAGAAACTCAAGAGGACCCCATTCAACCACTCTCTCGCTCTTCATCTATCATAATACCCGAGACCCAACCATCAAACTCTATATTAGATTCCCCAACTATTCGCTCCTCGCTTGTAATACCTGAAACCCCATCATTTCAACTTGACAATCAACAATCAAAAGCACTAACAACAACAACAACTACAACTACAACTACAACCACAACGTATAACTCTCTTTTGTCTAAAAATAATAAACCACTATTTAATCTCAACTTTAGTCAAAAATCATTAGTACTTCAAAAAAGCATTGAACAGCTTTTAGACTCAAATACAAATGAAGCTGACGACGATATGATTTTTAAAACTCCAACAAATATCAATACAGTAGAAACACAAAAAGATACATCAAATATAAGTGTTAATAAAATAAATTCAACTGAAACAACTACAATCACTACTTATAAACCAAAATTCAATATAAAATCAAGTAAAACCATCACAAAACCAAAAAATGATAGAGGGTTTAATTTTCCAATAGCAAAAGAGGAACAACAAGAAGAAGAAAAGGTATTTTCAATGTCACTATGGACTCCCTCTATTGATATTAAGACCAAAGCTTTTTCACTAAAAAAAGAAAATCCAAAAGAAAGTATATTTCGCTATCCAAATATTTCTCTTGGCGACTCCCCGGTTAAAAATTATAATAATGATTATGATAGCAATTTTTTACCAGAATCATCAACACCGCTATCATTACCATTGCCACTACCATTATCATCACCATTATCACCAGTTCCACCTGTATATTTTCTTGATGAAGAAGAAAATTATAAAAACAATCAACATAGGGCCAGAAATCAAGAGCAAGAAATAAAAGATTTAGAAATTGAAAACCTTATAAAAAAAACCGATAAGGAAAATACAGTTTTAAAGGAAAATATACAGGATATATTAATACCTACACCACCATCACCCCCACCACCAATTTATGACGAATCTCTTTTATATGAAGGTTGTAATTTAAATAAAGATAACATAAATAATGGTCGATATATAAATAATAGAAATAGTTCAGGAAATAATGGAATTGATAAAATTAACAATGGTATTAAAAATTTAAAAGAAACAGACGACTTCAGCATAGAAACTAAAGATTTTGAAAATATCAAAGAAAAAACAGATGATGATGATGACTATTATATTATAAAAGAAGAATATCTCAATGATACTATTAATATTTTAGGTAGAAGAAATACATTAGCTTTAAGTAGTCAATCACTTTCGCCAACCCCGCCAAGTTATGATATTTCACCAAATCAAAACAGTCACTTAAATGGTTCACCAACTCAAAATACTAATTTTAAAGTTCCAATAAATAATATAATCAAAAGCAGTACTAATAACTTAGATTTCAATCAAAATGAAGAAAACAACTTTTATTATAAAGAAAATAATATTAGTGACAATAATAATATGGATGATATTAATAATATTAAAACAATACATATAATAAGGATCATAACGATAATAATAATGATATTGATATTAAAAATAATACATATAATATTAAAGATTATAATACCACAATTAATAACATTAATAATATTTTTAGACTAAGTACTGAACCACCAAGTATAAATGATGTCTACCAAGAACTAAATAAAGCTAACAAACCAATTAATATCTATCAAGAACCATTTTATTCAAACCAACAAGATTTACCAAAATTTCCCAAAAGACCAAATCCACCACCTCCCCAATTTAAATCTAGTTTAAAACAATTTAAGGGCCTAAGTCATTGGAAAAATGTATTTCAATCAAGTAAAAACAATAATATATTTACACTTGCAACTCCACCACCAACAACAAATCAATTAATCAAAGAATTAGAATTACAACAACAAGAACAACAAAAACAAGATTTAAACAACTTAAAAACAAATGAAACTTTTAAAAAATCAAAATCAAAAGATTATTATAGTGAGTTTTCACAAATTTCGCAACATACTCCATCACCAACCAACTATGTTAAAGATTTTAGTATTAAAAGTTTACAATCAAATTTAAATCAAAATCTAACTCTTTTATCATTAGAAATTCATTCAAATTCTAGAGGTAAACTGAAACCCAATCCAGAAATAGATTCAGTCCAAGCAATATTTTACTGCATTAGAGACGAAGATTCGATTGAATTAGAGGGAGAACAATATCAAGATATCAAAGGTATAATTATGGTTTCATCAACAACTAATGATAACAATTATGGTTTAGATTGTTCAATTAATAGAGTTAAAGATGAAATAGAGCTATTGAAATCATTTATACAATTAATAAGATCATATGATATTGATATAATTGTGGGTTTTGAAATTCAAATGAACTCATTGGGTTATTTAATCGAAAGATCACATCACTTGGGATTTTCTTTATGCGATGAAGTTTCAAGAGTAATCTCACCAATCAAGGGCAGTGAATATAGCAAAAGAAGTAATTTCTTTTCAAAAGATCGTGACCCATATGGTTTCGAACATCAATCTGGAATTAAAATTGTTGGTAGAATAGTACTAAATCTTTGGAGGATCCTCAGGCATGAAATAACAATAGACAACTATACTTACGAAAATCTATGCTATAAAGTATTAAATAAACGTCAAGAAGAATACAGCAACGAAAAACTTACTCAATGGTATAGCGATAATAGACAGCGTTGGAGGGTTTTAAATTATAATTTACGCCATGTAGAGAATAACTTCAATTTATTGTATTCATTCGATTTTATTAGAAAAACTAGTGAATTGGCAAGGGTTTATGGTATTGACTTTTATAGTGTAGTTTCACGTGGTTCCCAATATAGAGTTGAGTCGATGTTGTTAAGACTTACAAAACCCGATAACTTTATTTTACTTTCACCAACAAGAGAGGAAGTCATGTCACAACCAATGCCAGAATCTATACCATTGGTCATGGATCCGCTTAGTAGACTTTATAATAGCCCAGTTGTAGTATTAGATTTTCAGTCACTTTATCCATCAATTATGATCGCATACAACTATTGCTTTTCAACATGCTTGGGTAGGGTCGATCCCTTGGATGAAATTAATAGAAAAAAATTTGGTGCAAGTTACTTAGAGATGAAACCAGGACTTTTAGAATCTATTTCTTTGGACAATATTACCATTTCCCCAAATAATGTTATGTATACAAAAAAATCAGTTAGACATGGTATATTCCCACGTTTGTTACAAGAGGTATTGGATACTCGTATTATGGTTAAAAGAGCAATGAAAAAATCATCAAACGATAAAAAAACTTATAGTATTTTGAATGCAAGACAGCTAGGTTTAAAAATGTTAGCAAACGTAGCATTTGGCTATACTGCAGCAACTTTTTCTGGAAGGATGCCATGTGTCGAAATTGGTGATAGTATAGTTCAAACAGCCAGAGAAACATTAGAGGCTGCCATTAAAATTGTAGAATCATCTAAAGAATGGAATGGTAAAGTAGTTTATGGTGATACAGATAGCTTATTTGTATTACTACCAGGTGTCTCAAGAGAGGAGTCATTTAAAATTGGTCAAAAAATTGCAGATAAAGTTACATCAATGAATCCAGCACCAGTCAAGTTAATTTTTGAAAAAGTATATCATCCATGTATATTGGTAAATAAGAAGCGTTATGTTGGGTTTAAATATGAATCGCCAGATCAAAAAGTACCAATATTTGATGCCAAAGGTATTGAAACTGTGAGAAGAGACTCTTGTGGTGCGGTATCAAAGATTTTAGAGAAATCTATTAGAATCATTTTCGAAAGTAAAGATATATCACTAGTAAAATCATATATAACAAGACAATGGGAAAAAATATTACAAGAAAGATTCAATTTAAGCGATTTTATATTCTCTAAAGAAGTTAGATTAGGAACCTATAAGGATGAAACCCATTTACCACCTGCAGCATTAATAGGTACTCGTTTAATGAAGAATGATCCAAGATTAGAACCAAGATATGGCGAACGTGTTCGTTATGTAGTTGTTTATGGGGAACCAAATTCAAGATTAATAGATTTAGTTTTAACTCCAAATGAATATTTAGAAAATAGTGATAGACTTCGTATCAATGTTATTTATTATATAACCAAACAAATTATACCAGCACTCGATAGAGTTTTAAAGGTTTTAAATGTTAATATCAAGCAATGGTTTAATGAACAACCAAAACAACTATTATTAACACCAATTCAAAGAATGTCAAAATATTATTATTTTAGAAATAATCAAAATAAACATCAATCTCGACAACCGATTCAAATTCAATATGAAAATAATGATCATCAAAATTTAACAATTGACCAATTTTATTCAACCTTAAACTGTTTAATTTGTAGCTCAGTAATAAATAATAATAATAATAATCAAGTTATCAATACTTCAAGTTCAATGTTTAATAATTTACCAATTTGTTTAAATTGTAAATCAGATGAACAAACAAGTTATTTTACTTTAATTAACAGATTTAAATTAATAGAAAATCAAAAGAACAATATCAACGATTTTTGCAAGAGCTGTATAAATGATCCAAGTATAGACTCCATCGATTGTATTTCTTTGGATTGCCAAACTTTTTTCGAACGTAAAAAACTAAATCAAATTTTTAATAACTTAAAAAATTGGTTTTTTTTATTCGATGACAATTTATAAATTGAAAAAAAATCAGGAATCAAAAATCAAAAATCAAAAATCAAAATAAATCCAAATTTATTGATAGGCTTTATAAAAAATAATACAAAAAACTAATTAAAAAGTAATAAAATATATTAACATATATTAACATATAATAATAAAAATCGTGATATGTTAAAGAAAAAACATAATATTTTTTTACTTTATATGTAAATCTTTAATCATAACTTTTATTTTTATTTGTTTATTTATTTATTTAATTATTGTATTTTTACATAGACTGCCATATTTAAAAAAAAAAAAACTTTTAAATTTTGTGTGTGATAATTATGACAGGATAGTGTGGGTAGTTATATGTGAGATAAGAGTGTTGGTGTGGGTTTATGTGATATTAAATCTTAAATTGTTTTTAATTTATTTATTTTGTTTTTTTTGTTTTTTAAAAAAAAAAAATATTTTATTTGTGTATTTAATAAAAAAAAACCTATTAGAAACAGGTTGTTTTTTAATATATAACAATAATAAAATTTTTTTTATTTTTTTTTTATTTTTTTATTTTTTTATTTTTTTATTTTTTTATTTTATTTCGTTTATATGGTATATTTAAAAAACAAAAACAAAATTTAAATTCATAATAATTATTAATATCTATCACACTCCCTAATTCTTATTAAATAAATTATTATTTCTTTTTTTAAATTTATATATATAAATATTCCTTTTTTCTTTTTTTATTTTTTGTTGTTTTTTTTTTTCATAAAAATTTAAATCTTTTTATAGGTTATCAATCAATTTTCTAACAATTATAAACCAAATAATAATTTAAACATTTTTTACTTTTTTTTAAAAAATAAAAAATAATTAAAATTTTATAAAAAAAAAAAAAAAGAAAAAAAGAAAAAAACAAAAAAAACAAAAAAAAATTAATAAATATAAAATTGATATATACATTAAATTTTTTTTTTTTAATAACTAAAAAAAAATAATATAAAAATATAGAAAGATAAATTTATTATTATTATTATTTTTAATAATAGTAAATAAATTAAAAGCGCCTATAAAAAACCCCCACCCCTTTTTTAAATGGCATCAGCACAACAACCACCTCCACAACAAAGTAAACCATCTCCACAAAATAGCTTTTTAAACAATTTTCAACAAATACCAAATGGTTATCAAACATCAACATTCACTACAACTACTCCAATGGTGGGCACATTGCATCAAATTAGCCGAACGCTATAACACAACCTGAGCTACAGCAG